CACAGAAATCAATAAATGCAATTTATCCCATAGAGTGAAGGTCAAGAATCACATGATTATTTCAATAGTTGCAGAAAAATCATTTGAAAAAGTGCTCCACCCATTCCTATTTGAAATACAAAAAAAAAAAAAAAACTCCAAAAAAGCTAGGAAATAAAGGAACTTACCTCAACATTGTAAAGGCTATATATGACAAACCCAAGACCAACATTATACTGACTGGAGAAAAACCGAAAGCATTTCCTCTAAAAACAGTAACAAGACAAGGATGCCAACTTTCACCACTCCTATTCAACATGGTCAATGAAACTCCAGCCAGAGCAATCAGGCAAGAGAATGAAAATAAAGGGAAACAAACAGGAAAAGAGGAGCTCAAATTATCTCTGTTTGCTCATGACATGATCCTATATCTAGAAGAACCCCCTCCAAAAAAAATCTTCTACTAGAAGATTTCTAAAGCTCATAAATGAACTTATAGTAGCAAAATATAAGATCAACACTCATAAATCAATGATATTCCTATACTCCAATGATGAGTCTAGTGAAAAAGAAATTAAGAAAACTATTCCATTCATAATAGTCTCAAAAATACTTGGAAATCACTGTAATATTATTTTTAAACTTAATGAGATAATGGGCTGAGGGTATACCTCCATGGTAGAGCACTTGCCTAATATGAACTAGGATTGGATTCAATTCTCAGCACTACATAAAATAAAATAATAAAGTTGCATAAAATCATACTATTAAAAATGAAATAACTAAAGAAGTTGTATAAATACTTAAACTTAATAATATTATGATCTTATCAGTAAAGGAAATTCCAGTTTTGTAGCACACTAACATTTAAACTTCAAGGAAACTGAAAATTTATGGATCTGATTCTGTTACTATCTATCTAGCTTTGTGATTCTCAGAACTTCAGTGAATCTCTCTGCCTGTATTTATTTAAGATAAGATAAAAGGTTTGGTTCAAACAGACCATGACTTATTTTTCTAAGTAAAATTTTCATTCGGAGATCGTTTTAGGCTTAGATTCATTTAAGAAAGAACACATACAGGTCCTACGTACACTATATCTGGGTTCTCCCAATGGTAACATATTTCAAAAATCTACTTAAAAACACAACCAGGATGTTGACAATAAATAGTCAAAATGCAAAAATTCTATCTCTTATCTTGCTGTTTTGTACTTATACCCTCTTACAGCTTGTTCTCAGACTTTCTTTAATCTTCTGGCAAACACTAATCTATTTTCCATTTCTATGATTTAGTAACCTTGAGAATGCTATAGAACAGGAATCATGGAACACATAAGCTCTGAGAACTGAATTTTCTCATTCCTTATTTTCTGGGGAGTCATCAGTGAGCTGTTATTGTATTCACAGTTCATTCCTTTTTATTGCTCAGTAGTGTTCCATGATTACAATGTACCAGAGTATTTAACTATTCAGCCATTTTCTGTAGTGTTTGTAGATTTTTCCCATTATGAATGAGCTGTTATAAATCTTTGTGTATAGGTTTTTGTGTGAGCATTTTAAGTCTTAGTTTCTCTTAAAATTTTTTTTCAAATAATGCATATGATAGTTGCATTTTTAGTTTCCATGAAATCGACAGGCTGATTTTATCCAAGAGTCTGTAGCATTTGGTACTTTTATTGCAGCTTTAATTGTGTAGTAAGTTACTTCTCCTTTTCATATCGATTTGCATTTCCCCAATATATAACTATTGTTAACATCTTTTCATGCACCTACTTGCCAATTTTCTATCCTCTTCAATAAAATGTTTTATCCTTCAGTCTTTTGCCAGTTTTCTAATTTGATTATTTTTATACTGTAGGTTGTCAAAAGTTTTGTATGCTAGACCTTTGTCTGATAAGCAGTTTGCCAATAGCTCTTATGAGTTTATTTCTGTGTTCTTTACTCTGTTCTATGGACCTATTTATCTATCCATCTACCCAAACTACAGTATTTTGGAGTAATACTTTTTGGATTTCACTGTATTTTTTTAAAGTATAGGTTTACGTTATTTGCTAAATTTGGGGAGTTTCCAACCATTTATTTCTTTGAGTACTTTTAGAAGGCACAGCTGCTTTCTTTCTCCTCTCTTTCCAGGACTGGAAGGACATACAAATGTTGGACATTATGTTTCAGTCCCACAGGTCTCTCGGGTTCTGTTTCATTTTGTTTCTTTTGGGGCCCTTCTGTGTGTGTGCATGCAGACAGGCACATTCATGTGTGTGTCTGTGTGTGTGTGTTTTATTATATACTTATTATGTCTGAACTGTTTAGAATGGGTATTTTCTATTTGTCAGACTTACAAGTCACTAATTCTTCTGATTTCTATTTCTTTGTTTAGGTTTTTTATTTCTTAATAAGACTTTCTACTTCTTCAGCTGTGCTTGTAATTGTTCACTGTCCCACATTTTATGTGGGTAGTTTTAAAATTTTTGTCTTATAATTCTATTATCTCTGCCATAACGGTTTGGGGAATCTATTGGTTCACTGTTTTTCATTTAGTTTAAGATGGTTTTGTTTCTTGGTGTGAAGAAAGGTTCTCAGTTGAATCTTGGATATTTTGGATACTACTAGGTTATGAATTCTAGAAAATATTTAAGTCTTCTGTTTTTGATGGTTTCCTATGACACACACCAGCAGGGAAGTGAGGGTGGAAAAGCCCTGCCTCATAGTTCCCTGGAGGGGACAGAGGTTCACTCCCTCTTCAGTGATGGTTCTCCATGGAAGGAGGGAGACTCATGAACATGAATGGACAAATACAGTGATGGAAATCTAAACTCTTGGATTTTTGTCCAGATTCTGTTACTACTTAACTTTGTAAGTTAGGGAAACTAAAGGTCTCTGACCATGATTTGTTAAAATAAGAGGAAAGAATTATGCCATTAAGTTATCAAACATTTTTTAAACCTATCAAATCACACTCATTATTTTAATTAGAGCCAATTAAATTTCATAGAGAATGATACAATGAAATTAAGGAAACATTTCCTCTTTGAGCTCATGAAGCTGATACCAACTTGTGATTTGAGAGATATTTTGCACACTTGTTTTTCAAAACCCAGGCTTGCATCTACCTGTAGCACAACTGCTTGCTAACTGTAGCAGATCCAATTGATATATATATATATATATATATATATATATATATATACACATATACATATATATATATATATGTATGTATTTTTATATGAGACATAAGAATATTTTAAAGTCACCTCTTACGATTCTTATGTACACAAACTGGTTGTGAATCACTGCTTTCACTTTAATAAATTGTCAAACTTCAAGAAAAACTAAATTTGATATGCTATTTCCAAAAAGAATAGTAGGCAAAAGGAACAGAAATTCTAGTAATCAATTATAGAAATTTATGATTGAGAAGAAATAAGGTCTATGCTATTTAAAAGATATGACTATACATTTTGGCAAACATTTTATGAGCAAGTAGCAGATTTGGATGGATATCATAGAAAGGTATAACAAGTGTAAACATATAAATAAGTATGATATTTATAATTAATTATGATTATAAACATTACAGGGGACCCCAAGGAAGTGTATTTCTATGGGTACGAAATGAAAGACAAGTGAGTTAATTGTTTAGTGCACATGGTAAAAGGTTATTATGTTTTACACATAGAAGATATTCAACAAATATCAACTTTCATCTTTCCAATCACGTAGAGAAAAACATCTGCAAATAATCATGATTATGAAACACTTGGAATATGTAAATGTAATGCATTAATTCGAGAAGATAAATTTCAAAAGCAATTTAAGCTTCATACAAAAAATATCTTTTTGTGTATATAATAGTGTCTTATATGGGTAATCATATTTTTCAGATGAGATGTTCCATAATATCCACTGGTTCTTAAAATGTATTATTGTACCAAGTAAGTTAGCACTTTAGCTTGCCTTTTTAAAGCACTAATGTTTAAAAGATACAGAAAGAAAAAAAAACTTGAGCTACTTTTGGTAAATTTTCATCTTGAGTTTTTCCATAAGGATAATTTATGGAGCATCTGTGTTCCACCTGATGCAGAAATTACATATAAATAGAAAGGCATTTGTTCTCAAGAAGATCACACTCTAACACTAGAGATAAATAACACAATATGATAATAATATTAGTGATACTCTATTTTTGAGAGTGAAAATAGCAAATAATGAACTAAGTTTTATGTCCTTTTTAAACCAATAATATTGAGGATAAATATTCTTCCTTCATTGAAGAAAATAACTGCAATGTGTACTTGCAACACATATTTTAAGTTTCACAGAAGAACTCAGATTAGATTATGATTAGAATTAGCCTATGCTTTTAAAGCAAGACACAGGATTTTATTTAAGATTCCAGATACTTGATGAATGGTTGCCTGATTTACCTCTTGGAATAGCCTAACTGGCCTTACTAAGAACTTTAGATTAAATTCAAAGCAAGCACACTCACATGTACACACAATATTACTACCTTTCATTACATTAAATATCTGAATGACAGACATCAAGAACCAAATATTTAAGGTATTAGAGAATTTTTTAAAGGAGCCATGCAGATTTTATTTCATGGACCTTAGAATACTATTCTTCATAAAATCTATCACATTCCAGGAAAACTTAAAAAAAAAAACAACAAAAAATAGTTTCTCACCATTACTCTTTGCATTATGTCCATATTGCTAAATATTTTTTGAGATTAAAATTACAAATGACTGATTACAAGAGATATAAATGCACCGCACAAGTAGGACTGTTGTTCTAACAAAAGAAATTTGCATGCAAGCTTTTCCTCATGAACATAAGACTTTAGTTAAAGATGAAATCCTGAAGGATATTCTCATGACAGGATGAATCTATTAGTGCACTTAAGTATTTACAGACCTTATTCACTTCCAAATACTTTATTAATGTCGGAAACAAGGCAATTCCTGGCTTGTAAAATGGAACAAACCACCCTAAAACATCTGGCATACTTACACACTTTTCGCTGTCAAACACATAGCACAAATGTTTATTTGACTCAGAATCTTTGCATATGAAAGTGAATATCCTCTTGTCAGTTTTATCATCTGCACAAAATGATATTCTATGAAGCTGGCAATTGTGTTGGACTTCCTGTGAACACAGATGGAAATAAATACTGTTGATGGCAATTTTTTTCTATTTTCTGAAACACCAGCATGTGTTAATAACATATAACTTAAGACTTGAAAAGTGTAATAATCATCTGTTAAGCTTTAGTTTAACAATTATATATACCCCAAATTTAAACAAACATGCAATGTAAATGAACCTTCTGACTCAGGATTAAACTAAGATATTCATTTCAATAGTACTCAAAAATACACAAGAATATAAGAGAATCTGAGTCCCACAGACTTCCAGAGCTTCAAAGCATCTTAAGAGACCATATACTTTAAATCCTTCATGTTTATACAAGAGAACTTTGAGGCTCAAAGAGATTAAGATACTTCAAAAAAGAATTACCCTAACCTTTTTTTTTAATCCCAAATTCTTTTCATTTTATGTCATTGCTACTAACTAGCATTACAATTAGAACATAACCTCATCTGGAGAAAAATTTCACCCAGAACATACCACCATTTTCACTCCTAGTTTTTTTAATTGAATTTTATTTTGCATATCTTCATAGTAATTCATACACTCCTGAACTGTTTATGTCTAGGTAGGTCAACCTTGCAAATTATGCAATGTTCTCAATGGGAGAGGATTCAAATGACTGCATCAACCCTGCTAATTGGTAGAAAGACAAATAACTGCAACCAGACATAGAGCTGCAGTACACCTAAGTGCACACACATACAGACATATATAATTATATGTCTGAATTATAAAACTCATGCAAAACATCAGAATGTACTTAATTAAAGTAATATATATATATAATTAAATAATAATGTTTTTACATTACTATTATTTAGTCAAAAATTGAGTATTCCATACTACTTATATAGTTATATTCCAATAGATCAATATTATTTATTTATTTATCTAACACAGTTTTCTGAAACATATTGAAGGTGAAGGAAAAAACCTTATCTATATATTTAATTATGAATGATGTAAATAAGTAAAAAAAAATCTACTGTGGCTATTAGTATCTTTTTCCTCCCAGAATGTGTTACAGTACTAGGAATAGGAATCAGAAAGTCAGGCTACCTGTATTATTTAGTGGGTATTGTACATGATTACAGATGGAGGCAACTATAGTATCAGCCAAGAAAGACAAGTGAATGTCCCCTTAGAAAACCTGATTTTAGTAATGTTTCTCTAAAGGTGGTTCAGTCTACCCTTAGCACAAATACCTGGGTTGCCCATTGCAAACACTGTCCTCATCTTCACCCAGATCAATCAGAATCTCAGAGATTTTGATCAAAATAAATATCACTAAGGTAATAAAAATTCTTATCCTCTCAAGCTCAGAGTTTGATATGTCAGCTTGTTCAGATTTGATCTATCATTCTGATTTGCATTACTGTTCATCAGACTAAAGATTAGCATACAAAATTAGAAAGATAAAGAAATGTTAAGAGAATTTGCCAACAACATTGCATTTTTCCTTAGATGTAAACCAAATAGTAAACCACCAATGAATTTCTTGGCAAGCCTGAAAATTAAAAGAGGATGAATAGTGTTAGCTTGTAAAGTATTACTAGATAGCTCATATGTCTATGGCAACAGTAGAGAGGAACAGCTTTGAAGAGAAAGTTCAACTTATATAGGCTTTTTTAGACAGAGAAATCAAGATTTGTTAATATAGCTGGGTACACCTGTAATCCCAGCAGCTCAGGAGGCTGAGGCAGGAGGATACAGAGTTCAAAGCCAGCCTCAGCAAAAGTGAGGTGCTAAGCAACTCAGTGAGACCCTTGCTCTAAATAAAATACAAAATATGGCTGGGGATGTGGCTGTGGCTCAGTGGTGGAGTGCTCCTGAGTTCAATCCCTGGTTCAAAAAAAATGTTAATGTAACAGCAATGCAAAAGATATAATGTGGGTGAATTTAATTCTTTTTCAATTGATACATATTAATCACATAGGCTTTTTCTTGTAGTCTGTGCTTAGATTGACAATGATCACTAGGTCTATATCACTTTAATAACTACATAATAATGTTAATGGTACATGAAGAGGCAACATCACTGCCATGCCATGTAGAAAAATTATTCTAAAGAGAAATGACAAGGAAAATGCAAAACACCATTCACATACCAGGTGGTCAAGTCTAGGATGTGCTTTATTTATCCACCAACCAGTATGAACAGAAAGCCTTAGTTATAAACAGTGTGAAATCATCCTAATATTTGTGTTAGCAAAGGTATCTTCCAACAAAAGAAGATTAGGGAGCTGAAACTTATAAGTTCCTTATTTTTGAAGTATTTGAGGTTTTTGCTTTGCTATTACTATGATAGACCTTTATGGATATTTAATGTAGCATTACTTTTGGTAAAATGGGATTAAAAAAACCCCAGGAAAACAACAAGCCACAGTGCAGACACACATATCCTTTAATACTAGTTTAATGGAGTTGAAAAAAATTAATAAACATCTTAGCCCCAGTCATCTACACCACTTGCTTCCTGCATGACCTAAATAAAGACAAGGTATTCATAAAAAGGATATAGGAGTCAGGTGTTAGATTGCTTTTGGTTCCATTTTGCCCTCTCAATTGGGAAAGAAAAATATTATATTTTCTGTAATGTTTTAAAATCCTGCTTCACACATTTAACTATAAACAAATTTATTCTAGAAGTTTCATATATGATTTGTTTCTTAAAAAATAAAATGTATACCTAAAATGAAATGAATGACAGGGTGTTTTTCTGGTCCGTTCATGTCTCCCTGGTGTGGTGTGGTTCCTAAGTACATGTGTGTGAATGGGCCGTACTGAAGTTCCCTGGAGCATGCTTGTTCCACCCTCTTCTGCTCTCCACTCACACACCTGTCCTTTTTCTACAGATTTAAAATGCTCAAGCAGACTGCAGAAGTCACTCCACATTCTTTAGTGTGCTCTGGGGCACTAAGGGTCTGCAGAGTTTGTAAATCCCTTTCTCTGTACCAGAGATTGAACCCAGGGCACTTAACCACTGAGTCACATCCATAGTCCATTTCATTTTTTACTTTGGAACAGAGTCTTGCTAAGATGTTCAGAAACTGTAAATTGCTGAGGTTGGCTTTGAACTTGAGATCTGCCTGCCTTAACCTCCCAAGTTGCTGGGATTACAGATGTGCACCACTACATGGCTTACCTTCATTTCTTAATGGAATAAAAGAAAGAAAGAAAGAAAGAAAGACTACATATATGAGTAAAGAGTAAGATACAATATACTCATATGCAATATCTGAGTAAAAGTCATTTATTATATATTCATAGGTAGTATAATTGAACATACATATCATCTCAAAGATCTTAAAACTCCGAGATTATTCTTCATATTTTTTGGGAATAAAAATTCAGATGCTTCTTTCCCATTCAAAGCTTAGAAAATTCAGTCTTTGGGAGAAAAATACAATTGAAGCTCTTTAAAAATAGCTATTAAGTATAAGAAATGAAGAGTTTTGAATAGGAAATAAAATTGTCATTAATGATTTGAGTAAGGTCATATAGAATGATTGTAAGTTTTGGTTTTATCCATTCATCTGTTGATGGGCACCTAAGCTGGTTCTACAACTTGGCTATTGTGAATTGCACCTCTATAAATATTGGTATGCCTATATTAGTATAGTATACTGATTTTAGTTCTTTGAAGTAGGACAGAAGAAGCTGGACAACCAAGAAATTTTCAGGAAGCAGGTTTATCGACTGCAGTTGGTCCAGAGGGGTTATCACCTAAGATTCTCTGGACCAAGAGAATTTGGTCCATCAAGAGCTATGTAATGTTTTGAACAACTAATAATAATAATAAAAAAGAGAATTTGGTCCAAATTTGAGAGTAAAAACCTAAGAGAACAGAATGATGGTTGATAGGCTACACTTATTGGCAGAAATTTGGAAATTCTCTGAATTTTATATCCAGTGGGAGGAGGGGCTTAGAAGTTTACATAAAAATAATTTTTTCTTTGAGTTCCCAGAAAGTGCTTTTTGAACCAGACAGAGATCTTATAAATCTTTACCAAGATAACAGAGAGAATATCTTTTTGCACAACAACCTTGACTGGAGATTCTAAATCTATCATACCTTTTGTGTGCAAACCTGGCATTTATAAGAAAGAGGAAGCTTCAAACTACAATTCCCTTTGCAGACATTCTGCTGATACTCTTTGTAAAAATCTGATGAGAGGAGAAGCTTAATTATGGCCAGAGTCTTCTGGGTGGGGGTCTCTGTTCTAATTCACGTTTGGATAAGTACCAAGGAGGGAGATAGCTGGGACATTGGCAGTTCCATTCTTGGCCCTTTGAGGAATCTCCACACTGCTTTCCAAAGTGGTTAAACTAATCTGCAGGCTTATGAGGAATGGTAAGTGAACCTTTACTTCACATCCTCTGCAGCAATTATTGCTATATGTATTCTTAACGATTTCCACTCTAACTGGAGTGAGATGAAATCTCAGTGTAGTTTTGATTTGACTTACACTGATTATGAGGGTATTCTTACACAATGAAGTTTCACTCAGTCATAAAGAAGAATGAAATTATGTCATTTGCTGGTAGAGGGATGGCAATGAAGAATATCATGCTAAGTGAAATAAGCCAGAGTCAGATGTTGGGGGCTGAATGTCTCCTTTCTTGCAGAAATTAGAAAGAAATAAGGGGAAGAATAAGAAGTGGAATATATCATGACAAAAAGGAGAAGAGTAAAATAAAAGAAGGAGATTAAGGGGAAGGAAAGAGGGTTATGTAAGGCAAGCAATTGTGGAAAGAAATTCACAAACATGTGCATACAGGAATACCTCAAAATGAATTCCACTTTTATGTATACCTATAATGCACAAATTAAAAAAATAGATAAACAGAAGGAAAACCAGTACAATATAGGAAAGGGATCAGAGGGAAGGAAAGAAGGGACAGGAAAACTCTGGGTATTGGGATTGAGGATCTATGTTATATACATATTTATTTTATGTCAAAATGAACCCCACTATTATGAACAACTAAGGTGACCTAATAACAACATAAAAAGATCAACTGATTAACCCTGTTGAGTTGAACCCCATGTAACTGATATTTTATAAATGGAATTTAGACAAGGGAGGCATGGAGATTTGAGAGTAAAAACTTAAGAGAACAGAATGATGATTGATAGGCTACCCTTATTGGAATAAATTTGGAAATATGATTTTTCAACAATAAAAATGGTAGATGGCAATCACCCACTTTCTTATCATTTTTTGCCTTTGTTTCTTTATCACCAGAAAAAAAATTTTAAATCCATGAGAATTTTTAAGACTATTTGCATTATTTTTTTCTTTGCTCTACAATATCACCCATATAATGTTTTTTTTAAAAAAATGTAATTTCTAGTTTTACATTTACAAGTTTAGGAAAATTTTTTTTCTGCATTCCAGGAAAAACACAAAGATTAAGAGAGGAGCTAAAACAAATAGCTTGGCAAACCCTAAATTATTGGTTAATGAGCTTTACAACAATAGGTTTTCCCAAATGGTCAGGAAGCCAAGAAATAAAAAGCAAGTCAATATGCTAGCAGAATGGGCTGATGATACTGGAGTATAAAACCAGTATTTTTAATTTTGACACTGAGTCTTGCTAAATTGCTCAGACCAGCCTCAAACTTGTGATCCTCCTGCCTCAGCTTCCAGAGTAGCTGGGATTAGTCAAATGCCACTGCATCTTGTTTGAAGGTCTTAACTTTTCACACACCTTTCACTTGAATAAAATAGTATTTTATAAAAGGTCATATGAAGTCATATAAGAAATAATAGGTTTAGTTAAAAAAGAAAAAGTTGCAATGCATACCCATATGCTCTTAACTTATCTGAGGGTAGCAATGTGCCACATTGCATTCACATGATCTATCTTTATATATAGACAGACTCCCACATATGTGGTATTAGTGGCAGTCATAGTTTTTAAATTTTTTATATTTTGTACTTGTCTCAGGACACACCGTTGTTAAAGTATCAATTCTAAAAACTAAATAAATCCATATTTGTATTTTCTAAATACCTATATTTTATATAAATTGAATATTTTGAGTTTCCTGAATTTTTAATAATAAGAGAACCACTTAGTAGATTATAGTAAATAGACTGCGTGTATGCATTTGGGAAAATTTTGTAGCCTACAATACACCATGTTAGTTCTGAATCAAATACAAAAGAACATGTGAAAATGGCACATAAAGTGCACATTATTGACCCTACATATTTTATATTTCAAGATGTGCTTTGATAAGTTCCAAACAAGGACATAAAAATTTAATTAAAAAGTAATTAACACACACACAAATATACACATACACTGAAACAGCTACACAATTTGTATGGTTTAGAAGAAAACTTTCAACACACACATGGGCTCCAAATGACCTACTCTGGATGGATATACTCATTTAATTTTAAAAAGGAAATGCAGGAAGAGGATCATTTTTCTTTTTGATTACATGTAAAACTACACGTAGGTTACTATACTTCTGGCTGCACTATCCTCTGTAACTAATTGTTTCCTCATTATATTGACTTTTTTGTAACCATTATTTGCCCAAAGAATATTCTCAGCTCATTCACATATTCAAAAGATAAAGCATCACTGTCACTTGCCTTATTTCAGAGCTGACTACACATATTTCATTATGTGTTTCAATCATTCTTCCATTATCCTTTTACCAATTCCTTTTTCGCTACTTCCAAAGCAGTTGTTTTGGCATAGCTATAACTTACGTAAAATCTCTGTGTCTTTGTTGCTATTTAATATTGAGGATGGATAATAGAAGGATCCTAGATTAGATGGTCTATTTATGAGACGTCTTAAATCCATGTCTTGAAAAGTCTAAAGGAATGCCATTGCTCTTTAAGATGGACTTAAATAAGAGTAACTGTGGGTGTATTCAAGTTATAGTCCCGTTGTTCTTAAACATTACAACTGCAAATTTTCACATTGAGAGATTATGGTTCCATTAGCTCACATGGGACCTTACAATTAATTTTTGCAACTGCTTCAAGGCAATTTTCATGCAGGTATTCCATGAACTATAATTTGAAAATGAGGCCTACTGCACATAGTCACCAAACCACATGCACTATACCAGATCTCCTCAAACCTCAATGCACACAGGAATCACGAGGTTTTTCCGTAAATTGTGGATTACATATTGAGTGGGTCTGGATGATGGTGCTACTGGATTTTAGACTGCACTTTGAGTTCTTGGAAACTAGTATTCACGTAGGTGAAGGTATCAATGGCATCTGCTGGGCTGTGGTCTAAAAGTTTCAGACCCATGAAAAAAAATTTCACAGTCTGTTCATGGGCTGGGTTTCTTTTGCCTTTATAACTTAGTTAATTTTTCAGTAAGTATTCTACAGTGACAGAGAAAAACTGACAATTTGAATTTGTAAAATGATTGGAGTTGAATTTTAATCAACTTTTCCAATCATGGTCTTACAAAATTACTAAATAATTCAGAGGCACTGGGAATAAGCTATTATATTAGCTTAATAAGGCTGCCATCACCAAATTTCATGGTCCAGGTGCCATAAATAACGGAAATTATTTTTTTCACACTTCTGAAGGTTAGAAATCCAAGACCAGGATTCAGTAGGTTTGTTGTTTTTGAGGCCTCTCTTCTTGGCTTTCAGATGTCTGCCTTCTTGCTGGGTCTTCACATGCCCTTTCCTCTGATTGAAATTTCAAACCACAGTGTGTCTTAATGTCACTGAAATTGGAGTATTGGAGTATTAAATTAAACAAGCAGATGCCAATTAGATTGGGGTTGTCTCCTTTGAGATTCTGCAAAGCATACTACAACCTAACTTAGTGTGTAAGCAAAACCTAACTTGAAGTATAACAAACAGCAGTTTCAGCCAATCACAGGCAGCCAACTCATCACACCATTGCAGCCAATGTGGTGATTTCTCTACTTTGCCCATGGTTGTCCTCTAAGCACTCCCACCTCTGGCTGGTGGGTGAGTTCTCTGATCTTGTTCTGGTTCTGAGTCTACCTGGTTCATGAATCTACTGTTAGCACAAATAATCTCTGTTAAATTTAAATTGTTTAAAGTTTTCCTTTTAACAGGATATAAGACCTTTTAGAAGGTTATTAAGTTAAACTGAGGCTATTAGTATGGTCCCTAATCCAATCCAACTGGTATCCTTATAAAGAAGAGAAAATTGAAAGTGAGAAGTCACTAGAGGAGGATGTTCACAGAAGGACAATTGTATGAAGAGGTGGTAGCAAGAGGGCCTCCATCCACAAATAAGAGAGACTCAGAGGAAAAAAGTTACCCAGTGAGCTCTAGATCTTGGAGCTCTAGTTTTCTCAGCTATGAGGATGTAAGCTTCTGTTGTTTAGCCACCCAGTCTATGGGTTATTGTTATGGCTGCCCTAGAAAACTAATATACACTGATTATGTCTATAAATAATAAAAATCAAAATAGGACATTTTAAAAAGCACACAGATCTTTTGTCTTCTTCCATGTCCAGTGAAGCAGTGAAGCACATTGGGTTTTTTTTCATCTTTTTTCATATCACCCAAAGAAGAATTTCTAAATATAAGTTCAAGTGCTGTAGAATGTATTCAGTATAAGTTATTGCATCTCAAACACAGGCTGAAGAACAGAGTACTCAGAAAGAAACTCCAAAAGTTTTTTCCCCCTCTAAAGATAGAGTTTTAAATCACCACTGAGAAATAATCGATTCATCAGTAATGAATTTCAAATATTCATTAAAACAGATATAAATTACAAACATTAGAAGGCTCTGACATACAAAAATAAGCCTTACCTTTGTTTTGGGTTCTAGAATTTTTACTCCATAAATTGATATTTGCAACTCAACTTTAGGAATTTTCTGGCCTTCAGATTTCTTGATGTGTCTCGCAAACTACAAATAAAAATTATTCATAAAAAACTTAATTCTGTTTTTGTGGAGAATGAACACAAATATACAAATTTTTATTCAATGTCAGATTTTCATTAAATGAATTATTGCCCATTATAAAGCATTTTGTAAAAATAATCTCAAAGTATTTAGTAATCTCAGCACTTTACCATTATAATTCAGATTAGTTTTCAGTAACTTTATTAAAACATGATTTTTAATGTACTTCTTTCATGATATTCGGAAAATTGAATTCATACCAAACAATTGAGAAAACTTCATTGATAAACAGAGATGATTTTGCTTTCCTGTGGATCCTTTGCTTTTAATAGCTTGAGAGAACTTGCAGTTCACCAACTGTTGGATATGCCATCTTTGTTATTGCTAGATAGTTACCTAGTTTAGTGCACTACCGTACCCAATACCAAACAAAAAGAGACGCTGCTATATCACAGTCAAAGCTAAGAACTGAGGTAAGTACCAGCTAAAACACTGATATGTAGATCTAGATTCGGTTTAGAATTATAAGTATAGTGAATAGCTAGAAAACAATTTTCACAATTTTTTTTTGTACCAGGTATTGAACCCAGGGCCTTATATGTACAAGGCAAGTGCTCTACCACTAAGCTACATCCTCAGTCCAAGAAATATTTTTAAGTGCTTTCAGAATAGTATTTATTATATATTTGTACTGAATTAGTTAAGTGTATACACATGTATGTTAGATTCTACTCTAAAATCAAAAAGAAATATCAGAATACTCATTTACTCAGTAGATGCAGTTTCTATTATCTAATTTCTTCCAGCTTTACCAGATTTATTGGTGGAAAAATTACAGGAACCCAGTTAAATGTGAATATTAAATAGTGCATACATTTTAGAACTTTGAGAATACATACACACACACTCATACACATATCCAAAAACACAAATAAACAAATATGCTATTAAGTATAAATATTTTTAGGCAATAATTTAGAACACACTGGCGTTTTTAAAAAGTTATTCATTATTTATCTGAAATTCAAAATTTATTGGGTGTTCTGATTCATCTGGCAACCTCACTGTCTCATTCCTTTCCTTCTCACCTTGGTCCCTTCACCTTTCTTTCTAAGAAAAGGATGAGATTTTTAAAAATAGGTTTTTTTCACCCCTCTTCTAGGGCTTCTAAAAGTTATTTTCTAGTTTAACATTTTTTCAGCATCTGGATACTCTTCCTAATAGACTCAAAATAGATCATCTGTAAGGCCAGGCAGAGCTCCAGTCCTCTTTGTGTCATATTTATTTGCGTTGCGCACTTCACCCTAATTTAGGGCAGATGTGAATACACATGGTATGTTTCAGTCCTGGAGCAGGGAGTGGTTAAAAGCCTTTTTCTCTGTGCACAGCTTTGCACTGCCATGGAGAGTAACATAATTAATGCATATATGAATGCCTTGAAGTGTCTGCCTTCATATCCCAGGGGGTACCTTTTGTTTTTTTTCCTTGTTAGGTGCTGTGACTGTTCAGCTTACTGACTTTCCTGTTCTTTGGATGTAACCTGCTCTTTCTTTTTGCTTTTTCTGCGTCTGGCAGGCTCACATTCTACACATGAATCAACTAACTTATGCCAGAGAATTTTCTTTTTTGTCTTTAAGAAACATGTTTCTCTTTAATGAAGATCAAAAATTCTTCCAGAACTCTCCTAAAGAATGTGCATTAATTTTCTTTTCCCTTCACCATTTCCTACATAAATTGGCATCATCAAACAATTCAGGAGTTTTCACATATAAAACCTTACAAAACTAATCAGCTGCTCTGTGTCTATGTGGAGGCATCTGTCTAAGCAAAGCAAGGCCCAACTGCTGGCTGTGGAACCATTTATTCTACTTGCTTCCTCCCTCCTGTTTTCTCCAAACACAGTAACAGTGGCTCCCCAGGCCTCTTCCACATCTGGACACAACCATCGCTCTGACCTCTGATGAGAATTGTGCAACTTTTTATTTTGTAAAACGTCCACCACAAAATGAACAGTAATATTAAACTTAGCTGTCAGTAAGGCAGAAAAAGAAGAATGGAAGAAAGGAAGGAAGCAAGCAAGCAGGGCCTGATGGTAGACAGATAGACACACACACACACACACACACACACACACACACATACACACACACATACACACATACACACACATACACACACACACACACACACACACACACACACGAGGGGTGAGAAGGAAGAAAGGCAGGGAGGAAAGGAAGGAGAGAGCATAAAACAGAAAACATCTGCTTCCAAGTTCCTGAATCTTTCTCCCTGCTTCACATCAAGATAAGTAATGGTAGTCACAGCAGCTTCAGAGATCATCCAACCCGATCTTACCATTTCAAAAATGAGGAAAGTCCCTGAGAAGTTCTGTAACTTGGTCATAAAACGGGTTTGTAGCAACTAAGCCTAGAACCTACCTTTCCAGATGGGCACCCAACTACCCTTCTTGTTAGTGCACGTTTTCTGCATTTAAAAAATAAAATTCACAGCTCTGTTTTCATGTATATCAAGGTTTATACTGGTTATTGGGCTTGATTGATGAAAATATGTTACAAAACCCTTAGGCTTAAGAGTTTTTCAACTTCTATTCTAAACAGTCTAATATTCTCCTTTCTGTTTCCTTTTTCCTAAAACTTAAGCTTCCTGTGTTCTACACTGTGCATATTCCCCTCTGACTCTCCTCCTTTTTTCCTACTTGTAGACCTCTTAATTGTGCTCCCAAGTATTTCTAAGTTTGAAGTGTCAGAAGACATTGAAAGACATGCTAATATGATAATCTAATATAAACAGTCAGAGGGGATGAGGCTTACACATACTGAATAGTATCTGGACACAACAAAAACACAAAAAAACCTTTTTCATAAAAAAAAAGGATGAGAAATGATGAAGTTTTGCTTGAAATGTATGAAGTACTTAGTTAAATATATATTACTAAGTAGAACTGCTAAATAAAATTTAAAGGGAACCCTGAGCTTCAATGTCACCCTTACAGAATTTCTATTTCTTAAAGGACTTTTTAAAAAGTGAAATTTTAACCATATCACTAATGAAACATGCACTTTGTGGCAAGAAAAATCAGTTTATACTTTGAGCCTATTATTCTGAGTTACTATTGTTTGTTATATTTAAATTATTAAAGTATTCATAATAATTGAGTGGGGAAATCAGCTATGTTTGTATATAATATGATGAATCTCTAAACCTTTTATTAGTTAAATACTAGTTGCAAAGATAAAACAGTTATGCTGCACAGAAAGAGTGAGGTTGAATGGAAAAACTGCTGGGCTGAGATTAACAGGATTCCACAGTGAATCCCAAAGGCCATATTATCTTGAAGTAACTTCATATAATATCAGTGCAGCTCCACCAAAATGAGGATTTTTCCTCTAAAATTGTGACTCAGGAATGCCACTCCATGGTTATCTCCTAGGAAAACTGACAAGTTTTGAATCTATATTTCAGTACTTATTCATAAGTAAACATTATAAATTGTTTATGAAATATGGGACCTCTGATATTTATGCTAGTTGTGTTAACAAAACAACTCGATAAATCACTATTGAGAATGTAATTCAGTATAATAACAACAATAATTATATAAGTAAACACATAGAAACTGAAAGGGTTTTAAATTATTATATTTCAAAATATTTGGAATATTTTGAAATCTCAGGCTAAAAAACAATTAAGAAATAGAAATTACATGATTAAGAAATATAGAGTATGTTGTATTCATAAATACAGCTTCCAAAAGTAAAGACTCCAATACTTTAACAAAAATTATTACGTTTAAGAACAACTTACGAAGTCTAAATCTCCATTGACATAAAATTCTATATAAAAAATTGCTTAAAATTTTTCAAAAACTAAGCAGATGTTATGAAACAAAGAAACATGAAAAATAGATTATTGAAATCCTTAGTTTTGGTCAGCTTGAATTAAATTTAGAATTCTTATTTAATGTTAGAAGGCAATATATTTAACATTGCAAACTTTTAAAAAATAAGTAAATATAAATAAAACGATACCTTATGTGTCAAATGCAGTCAAATCCTAAACTACAACAGATTTCAAAAATCAGTCAGAATATATATGTTTGAGAAAAACAAGCAAGAAATTAAAATGGGGCTGTTTATAAAAGGCAGTTAAGCAAAATTTTTTTGGTAGAGTCATAGCACCACCTGCTGGCATTTACATGTCAACAAAATTTAAAAGTCAACAGGATCAACTTTTTAAAAATAAGTACAAATATCTTTGGTATAATTTGAATTGTAGCTCTGACCTCAAATATAGATAAATTAAAACTTACAATAAAATAGTTCAAATTTATTGTTTTATTCATTATCATTAATATATGAATCTTTACCCTTTGGTACACTTTCCTGAGATACAAACTTTTTGAAATCAACAAAGTAAAGATTACTTATTAAGCATACAATTGTTCTTGAAGACACTCGAGAGACAAAAGCTACTATCAATTAGGTATACATTTTAAAACTACACTACATAATTTTTATCTTATTGTAAATCCTATTCATTCAAGCATGTGAAGAAAGAAGTAATACATAGGTATTTTTAACAAGATAAGGATGAGAAGTCTGTTGAAACAGTTTTTCTGATTTTAAAATCTCAGTGAGAATAGTATGCAGATGAGAAGCAATTAGATAAACATGTAGTGTGACATCTTACATAATATTGTTCTAAGGAAATATCAATTATGAATATGTGGAATTACTTCTGATTTTCTCGGTAAACTTGTTGATTATGAATGTACAGTTTTGCTTAGATTTTCTCAGGAATCTTGTTGATGTTGAGTCTATGGGGCCTCTATTTAATGTCCTCCTCTACCCTCTGATTCTTACCAGTTCCTCTATGGCTGCTCATGGGCATGGCCTCATCTCTTATATTTGCATAATATACAGGGTCACTACAAAATTCTGCTTTGCAATCATCTCTAAGTGCATATTGCTGACTGGTGGATATGGATTGCAATATATATTTTTTTCTTTCTATAATTTTTTATTAATTTTTGTTTATATATCACAATAGAATGCATTACAATTCTTATTACATATATAGAGCACAATTTTTCATATCTCTGTATACAGAGTATATTCACACCAATTCATGTCTTTATACATGTACTTTGGATAATAATGTCCATCACATTCCACCATCATTAATAACTCCATACCTCCTTCCCTTCCCCTTTGCCCTATTCTCTATTCCTCCCACTCCATCTCTCCCTACTCCACTATGAATCAGCCTTGGATTGCTATATTATTGCCAGTTTTTGAGTGAGGGCATTGTCCAAGCAAAGTGAAGTCACGCTACTATATGTCGACTCTTATGAAATACTGCCACTAAAGATTTTAGGGATTATGAAAAATTAACACTGTACAAAATACAATATGCTGTATAAAGAACAATAATTGTGTGTACATATTTATTATTTAAAAATGTCTCCTTGGTCTGATGGTATTTATTCAATAGCTAATTTTTACCAGTGAGAAGCTATCCCTGCCACAAAACATTTTCTGTTTTTATTTCCATCAATCTGTGATAACATGACAGGTTCCACACACACTAGGCATTAATTAAAGGAGTTTCCTTACCTTTAGTTTCCTTACAGCATCTCTCACAACTTCTGTTCCTTTTGGCTGCTCCACTTCTGTGCTGCCAAGAAACTGAAAATGGTCATTTGTGAGAACATGTGCTTCCATGTCATTTATCACCAGGAGACTGTGAACTACAGCACTGCACAACTGAATGGTTTCATAGAATGCAAACTTAAGTCCTAATTAAGTAGAAGAACCTTAAATTAATTTCTACTATTTTCAAAACATATGGAAACATAAATATATTACTTGAGCATTTGTAATTCCTATTATTCAGACTTTAATAGAAAAAGACTTTTCTTACATATTTCATTTTCAAATGATTACTAGAAAGAAAGCAAACTGATGATTGGGTCCAAAGGAATACAGTTGATCTCGACATTAAAAATTTAGTAAGTATTAACAATTAAAAATTTTCTAAAAATTCAAAGCACATAAATATTTTTATTTGTTACTACAGCTAAACTTTGATATATTTCAGATTATAATTTCACTATATTTTTCCTTGTTTTCCAACCATGAAACTCATACAGCATGTAGTGTTTAAAAGAAAAAAGTTTTTGAAGTCCAACATATATTATTCAGTAAGCTATATCTGGGTTTGAATTTTAAAAAGCACACAATTTATAATTTAACTGTTTCAAAATGACCAACCCTGAAGGCAATCACGGAGACTGTTAGGTTAAATTTAATGAGTCTCCAAAAAGAAAAGGTTTCCTAATAATTATCATATTTTGATAAAAATCTCTACCCTGGAGAGAATTAGGCCCTCCTAAATGGAGTCCATCATCACAAGATGCCCAAGACCAATCAGATGAAATATGCAAGTTTTATTCTAGAAAATATTTCTATGAAATTGCACATAATTATTAAATTCATGAAGTATATAGTTTCCCAAAGGCTGGTTTCCCTCTTATCACACACCACCAACTAGAACACCATTGCCATCACGAATCTACCACTGCTCATATGTGTGCACCAGATTTCCATTAAGTGATTGAGGGGATGGATATGTGGGCATTTCCAAAGTCGAAGGGATTGATATAGTAAAGTCACAGTATTTCTCATTCTTCCCTCCACTCTTGAAAAAATAGCAAATTCATTAAGAGTCTCAGTTTTTTGAAATGAGCGTTCTGTGTTACCCAGGAAGCAAGTTAAAAAGTAAAAATACAGATTTTCTTGGACAAATAATCCACAAATTTTAGGGTAGCACTAGGAACTTATTTATCTAAAAGCATTGTAATTGATGGCTTGGGCTGAAATCTGTTAGGCAAAATTTGAAATCAGCAAACAGATTATGAGGATAGTTGAAAGGAGATAAAAAGGGTAAATTGAAAATACAGATGATTGCTGTTCCTGAGAACCTAAGCTGGGTTGCCCTGAGGCAAAGTGAAGTCCTGCTTCTTAGGTTCTATAAGGTACAAAGTTTCTTTTTCTATTAAGTTCAGATTCTCCCAAACAAATGCTACTGGGGCTTAGGTAAGATATGTCAGGCACTGTGACCCACTGTGACCTAAAGATGTTGGTGGACCAGGCATATATAAAATACCAAAATGAATGAGAAATACTCACCTTAAAAGGAACTGAAAACCTGTCCCCTCTTACCAGTGAGTCTGCTCATTTCCTGTGTTTTTTTTTTTTTTTTTTTTTTTTTTTAATAAGTGTTTTCAACTCTGGCTTCAAGACAGATTCACAGGAGGAGATTTAAACTATTATCAATGCCTACAAGTCTGATTCAACAGATAACATCTGTATGTTTTCCAGCTCCCAAGGTGATTTTAATGTGCTGACAGTTTGAAAAGCAAGGATAAAGGGTTCAAGTTACAGAGGAGGATGTAAGGCAAGAGGAGCTATTTAGCTGAGAGGAAATCCATGGGGTAGACTCTTCTCTACTTCTCTGAATTGATCAAAGCACTGAGAGACAAGTAGCTCCATCCTCAGCCCTTATTATTATTTATTTTGAGTTAGGGTCTTGCTAAGTTGTTGAGACTGTCCTTGAATTTGCCATCCTCCTGTCTCAGCTCTCAAGTAGGTGGAATTACAGGTGTGTGCCACACTGAGCAAAAGCATATTCTCTATGGATAAATTATACGTGTACTGAAGAAGAAAGGATCTGAAGTATTAGTGACAGTCTATAAGAGTAACTGGAAATATCTTTGGAAAAAGATTCATACTTTGGCAGAAATGTTGAGTCATTAAGTATTATATGCAAATAGGATCACATGGGAAAATTATGGAAGAACCCCAAGGATATTCTAAATGAATCTACCTCTAGCAGTGCTCTAGGAACTTTTTAATATATTTCTTTCACACTGGCTTTAATTAAACCAACTAAGAAATAAAACAGTGGTAGAAGCCTTGAATGATGGTAGAGTTAAACTAAAAGACACTTTAATATGAACTTGCTACTTGAACCAGCTTTTTCTTATGTAATTAGTAAACAATTTTAAAATTAAAAAAAAAATAGTCTACCCTTTATATTTCTTGCATATTTTTAAATTATAAAAGTCATAATTATTCTTTCTCAGTAAACAACTCATATTTACATGCATCTAATTTCTATATAAAATATTTATAAAACTTAAATATGACGTATCTGTGCTAGAATGAGCTCTAGGCTCAGAATCTGAAGACATTAGAAAATTACTTAATCTCTGTCTTATATGACTCTTTTGAAAAATACAGATAATAATACACTTCTCATAAAATCATTTCAAAGAGCAACTGCAATAAGAAAAGGAAACACACTGTAAACAGTGACATGTTTTATAATTATGAGGAATTACCATTCSTTTATTTAATGATGGTCTGGGGAAGACACAAAGGTTTAATGGACACAGTTGTGTCTGCTCAGCTTTTCTGGGATCAGTGTCATCAGCTCACAGACCCCTCCTCCAGCTTGCCTGTGCTTTGCCAGTACTGACTCACGTGCAAGCCCTTCAGAGGGTTCTAGTTAGGCAATGAAGTCCTCTTGCCAGTACTGAGAGCTAGAAGCACCTGGGAGATTTTTTCACTGCTCCTATCCTCCTCCCATATCATCACATTCCTTAGCCAACCTCTGACTTAGTCGGGGGTAGAAAAACCTTCCTCCTTTGCCTGGAGGCATAAAGGTGTGATGCAGAGCTTCCCTGGGACTCAGGATGAGTAAGCTTCCCCCATGCATACTCTTCTGTGCTATCCTGCTTAGGTTCCTCTGTCTTTCCTGATTCTGTATTGATTTCACTGGGAGCACTCTCTTCACAAAGCACAGACACCTAAATCTTTAATTTGGGGTCAAATTCTGGGGCTTCCAGCCACTGGTTAAATGTTTTAAATGCTTACATTTCAGAAACATACCACCTTGTACACAATGCCACAAACAACTAAAATTTACTGTCCTAAGTGCTACTGAAGGCTTGTACAAAGCACACAGGTGGGACTGAAGACTGGTTTTCATTATTTCTACTCTGCGTGGTGCCTGAATGGCGGAGGGAAAAAACTGAACTGAATCATGCCAGGGCCAATGAATTCAGCCACCCCTTCTCCATAGAAGAGGTGTCAACTAAACCAGGCCAGGGGAACTGCAGACTGCACCATGCTAGGCATGGCTGAGAGATGAAATGAGGTGCCTACCATGTTAGGCAGAAGTGCATATGCTGTGTGGATCACCTGACTCTCTTCCTTTGTCCATGTTCTAGGATACCAGGTGTCAATCTTATAAGTCTCTAAGGAGGAGAATTCTTCCTTAGTGAAAGTGGCCCAAGAAAAATAACACAACCTATGCTGACAGCTGAGGTTCCTACGTGGAATAGATGGGTCACCTGATCAATCACCAGCTGACAATCCCTGCCCAAGCACATGTCACTCAAGTTGGCTTTTGAAGGTCTCAGTCTTAAATAGAAAGCACAGCAAGTATGTGAATATATTTTAGAAAACCCTCTCCCCTGAAGAACTGCTAAGAAAACAAGCAAGAGCAAAAAGAATGAGAAAGAAGGAAAAAGAAGCCAGAGAAGAAAACAAGATTGTTAAAACTCTAAAATCAATATAATGTATTGAATTCATGATAAAAGGAAACAAGACACTCAGAAAAGCAGCATTTAGAGAACAAAAGAGAGACCATAGAAATTAAAAATGTGACTTAGATGACTTTTAATAGTAGTAAGAATACTGTAAGATAAAGTTGAAGAATTTCATCAAGAAATAATTATTGGATGCTTACTATTTTTTCAAGTACTATCCTGGGAGTTGAGACTATAGCAGAGAAGAAACCAGAGTAAATTCCCTGACTGTGAGACTTACATGTTAGTGGGGCAGAAGAACAACAAATGAGATCATATAAATAAGTAAATGGTATGGTGCTCTAGAAGTACTCTGGAAAGGGCAAAATGAAGGGGCTGAAGCTCAAAGCAAGTGGGTGTGTCTGTGGGTCTGGTGCCTGCTGTGGCATTTTAGAAGATTGGAGGAGACCTCCCTGACAGGGTCAAACAATCCAACTAGAAAGGGTGCAATCCAGCTAGAAATTTGAGTAAGGCAGAGACGGAAAAAGGAATAAAAGTATGAAAGTCTGATATTGATATGGAAGAGAAAATGAAACACAGATGCTACTGCATCAGAAACTCTGATTCTACTTGCATCTATGGAATTCAGAAACTGAATTCTACTCAATCAGAAACTCAGGAGCTGGGCCCCAGAAAACAGTTTCAATGTGCCCCAGGTGATCCTCATGTATGCTTAAATTTGAGAACCACTGTGGAAGGAAATCCAACATCAAATTATACAGAGTTCTAGAAAGAGAACTGAAAAACCTGAGGAAGAAAATTCCCAGCTTTCCAAGAATCAAATCTATGCATTCCAGATTAAAGAATGCTTACATCAGATTAAAGAATGGTTACACTTCCATGTAAAAATACATAGAAACACAAACAGGCTCATCATCAATAAACTGGGGATAAAGATCAGAAAATTCCAGGGAGAAATGACAGCAGACTTCTTCAGGACAGCAACAGTGGAAGAAAAATGACTGAATTCTGAAGAAGAAAAAATGATTTGAGCCAAGTTTTGAGTCTATGAGGAAAAAAAAACAAAATCAT